ATTGCTCTGTATGGACCACCAGCAAGTAATGTGGAAAGCGTTGTTCAGAAACCACAGTCCTGAGTGGCAAATGCAAGAAAACCATCCACTCCTTGTTACCCTTTGTGGTAACAGTAATGATGTAGTACTGATGCAGTGGTGACGTCTACATTGTGGCCAGACCTGGATACCCTTGTTATCGTTCTGTACATACATGGTAAGTCCATGCTTCCCATCTCCTTTCACTCCTGCAAGGTCAATCACCAGCTCAGCTGGTCATGCTGGGAGACTCAGGGGTCACTTGTAAAGTTAGACCTAGTTTCAAATGGTTTAAAAAAATTCAGAGCCATATAGCTGGTCCAGTAGTTGTTCTTACCAACTCAGCAACCGTTCCCACAGCTACTCTTATCCTTTATTTAATTCATTCTACCTTGTTTCAAACTAGACACTCTGATGTCTAGGGCAGGCATCAACAGCAACATTCACATGGTCCCACATACATGACCTACTCTTCCTAAGAGCCTCCATAAAAACAATAGAGAGAGAAGGCAATTTAGAAGAGCAGCTTCCTCTGGCATTTGGAAACTTCCGTTTCAAGAGCTTGTCTCCCTCCCTGCAAGGACTGTTCAGGGAGTCTAACACCCTGGCTAAGCTACCTGCCCCAGTAAGATGACATGAATAACCCAGACTCATTTTCAATCTGTACCTTGGCAAGGACAACAAAGCCCAGTGCTACTAAATACTCAGTGTCGGTGTTAAAAAGACCAGCCGCAATTGTATGCCTTTAGAAGAGCATATTCTTATCTTTCTGACTTACCATGTTGCTAGAGAAAGTCAGTCTACTGTACATACCAGAGCGTTACTGTCACATTGCACCCATGTTACTTGTCTTTTCTCTACCTTGTGCATGAACAAACATCAAACTAAGCCTACCACTAACATATGATGGTCTCGCTCTCTGCACATGACAGGTTCCCAGTGCCTGGCTTTACTGACAAAGCAAGGGCAACATCCAGGCAGTGTTGCTAACATTCCTGGCTTTGTTGAATTTTATAGGTGTTGATGCTTTTCTCACAGCCTCAGCTACAAGAGATGAGTGTTTTATGTAAGAACCGCATCTCCATTTATTTATTTTAGGTACCCTGCTAGCCCTGGAGGCTAGAACAGTGGTTGTATAAAACAGCCTAAGAACATGAACTGAAAGCACTCTCGAGGCTGACAAGACAGAAGAGAAAAATGGAAAAAAAAATGTTTCTTCAAATCTCATGAAGTTTAAGCTGATTTCACATATCAGGAGTACATGCTTATCACCATGGCAAATGTTCAAGGCAAGGTACAACTGGAATGTTCTGATATGAAACAGTAAGAAAACCACTTTTTTTCACCCCCGGATCTTAGGTCATATCATTATAAAAAGATTAAGGTATAGAACAAAGTGGGTTGTTTTCTTTTCTGAATCACAGCACTGAAGCACACAGTTAGATATAGCTCTTTACACAAGGGTCTGCCCAGTGTTGTCACATGTTTCCGCAAAGAAGTTCCTTTCAGACATGAACTTTTGAAACAAAGGGCTCAGCCAAAATATAAATACCATAAGCAAAAACACTATCACCACCTCTTGGTCATGAAATGCACACTATAGGAAGGGACATCAAACCATCACAGCATGAAAAGAGGTCTCACATCCAGACCCCAGTGACATCTGTCATGCCTCTGAGGGAAGGTCCTCCTTCCTTGCACTGGGAGATGATCCAAGGGGAAATTCCCCTCCGTGTCCACCTGAAAGATCACCAATTCTGAGAGAAACTACTCCAGTAGACTCTGTTAAGGCCAAGAGAAAAATGTGGTGTTTAACCTTTGTCGTCTTAAGGAATTGCGTGCATATGAAGTACATCCGAGCTCTACGTTGCTCCAGTCAGCTGAAGACTCCTCCATGCTGCTGTCACTTCTCTTCTGCACATGCTGCAAGCATAACCAAGCAAGCTTGATATCTATGAAGTTAACTCTACGCTACTCCGCTCTTGGTAAAGTATTTAGCAGCTTCTCTATGAAGCTTTGCAGCCTGCTCTAAGCTCTCTCTAGCAGTGCTAAGTCTATCCTAAATAGACTAAGGCTGACTATGTCCAGATGAGCTCCAGCCCTGGCAGTGAATGGATTCCTGCAGCTGAGTGAGAGGCAATCAGTGGCAGCACATCCAAGCTCAAGACATGGGCTCATCACTAAGGTCAATAAGAAGGTCAAGAATACAAACCACAGAAACCTCAAGCATCAGAAACATTAGCCATTGTGTCCCAGTAATTAAGAGGCTTTGTCCTGCGGTCTCCCAAAAGGTTTTGAATTAATTCTTCATTTTCACAAAGATCTTTCCCTTATCATGTTCCTTTCATAAGGACACAAACTATGCAATTAAAATTAAATTAGGAATCAAACAGCCAGATGTATCCTAGAGTCACGATGACAGAAACATCTATTTTGTTCTGTCACTTCCCCCGTTCCGACGTCAGACTGCATATAGTAACGCAAAGACAACAAAAAAGTCTTTGCACAGATAGCTGACACTTCACAGCACACTTTCTGAATGCCACCCTGTGCACCTGCAAAGTGCAGAGCAGACAGCATTACTTATGTTCCTATACCAGCTCTCTCTTTATTGGTAAATAAGTAAACGCTCAACTAGATTCAAGGATAAGAGAAAACCAGCTCATGCATCAAACCCAGACACACCTCAGGCTACAGTCTTAATTTATATTTGCTGTTGCAAGTTCAGGTTTATCCTACTGCAGATACTACAGTCATGCCAGATCTATGCCTGTGTAAGAGGGGTCAAAATGTAAAATGATTTCTCTACTATTCAGCCCGTTATAATGCTAATAATCATAGCAGACAGAGATAGGTTTGAAACACTGAATTCCAGATGTAGAGAAATGAAAAATTCCCAATTTGAGAGCTGAGAACTGGAAAAAACAATCATTAACAGCTTACATGTCACGGAACAGTGGAGTCTGCAGAATCAGGACCTCCTTGCAATAAACACAGCTTACCAGAAGAAAGAAGCTGAGACCGAAAAAGTGAACCTTATCAAATAAATTATATGCTATAAACACTCTCCCATCCTGCTCTTTTCTACCCATCAAAAGCCAGATCCTGGATTATGAAACAAACTCTTGCTTGTCAACGCTCCTCTTGGGAGAGCATCCTCATTAGGCAATTATGGCATTCGAACAGGCTGCTACCATCACAAACTGCAACTGCTAGCCTAGAAACAGGCTTTCCTGACTTCCCTGACAAAGTTCAGGCTCCAGGTTTCTACGTTTGCTGGATGACATGCTATATTTGCCCTGGGTTTCATCTACTCTCTTATGCTGCTTTTCTCTAAAAAGCATTAGCATTTCCTACACGCATATTCTATATTGGCCTTACAAGCATTGAAAGGCTATAGCAAAATTTAACCTAAATATAGAGACTTGATATTTTTAAATAGCTCTTAGCTCCAACTCACCAATCTGATTTTGTTTGAACAGAAAAAACAGTCTCCAGCTTTAAGTCTCCATCGTAATTAATGATTACGACACATTCCTCTACCATATCAGATTTAGCACCTCATTAATGTGTTTGGTATTTTGCTTGCACGGCACAGCTGTAGTTAAAGTTGAATTAGTGTTTCCATTATAAGCCCATGTTTTCAAAGGTTTATTACTCAGACACATAAGATTTACTCTGAAATGAAAATTGCCATCGAGTGTGTCAGCTGGGAAGTAGTTTTTTGTCCTTCAGAATTTGGAAGGAACAAAATAACAAAAAAAAAAAAGCAAGCCACTGTTTATTAATAATTCACATTTTAAAAGGCACTGCAAATACATGTTTACATGATAGCCTGTGACAGCTCCATAGAATGCCAACGCCCACACATTCCTGGGAGATGTGTCATCTTAAAAACTGAAATAAAAGCCACAGTCTTATACTACTTCATGGGAGGGACAGAGAAAGGAAGGAAGACTTAAAAATAATATCGATGAAGGAAACTTAGTGAAAAAATAATAATCTTTGCTTAGAAACAGTTAAGTTAGGAGTTTTAAAAGGAAGGGAAAAATCTTCAGTGCCATCCACATTTTCAAATTGTTAGTGCCATCAGCCTGGTCTTGGCTTACTTAAAGCATTTAGCACGAAGTTTGGTCTGACTGACGTCCTATGGCACGCAGTGTCCAAGCCTTTGCTCGTTCCTAAGTGCTGGACTCTTGGGGTATGGCCGAATTATGGACTTTCCAATAGCCATGCTGAACTCAGCGAACAAGGCAAAATGTGCATCAAAAAACTCCAGGGGGTCCAGGCTTTGCGATTGTGCCCTTTTACAATTAGTTTTAAGACTGTACCACTAAAAAGAAGTAGACCTTTTTATTGGGAGGCTTCTCATGCAACTACTTGGCTGATTATTTGGATGATTATACTTATGACATGCATGTTTACAAACAAATGCGTGATGAAATCACCAAATTCTCACTTGCCACCATTACCAGAATGGATGCATTTTTGATGGCTTGACAGACATTAAAACACTATTTTTGTGACATAGTAAAATTCCCTGATGGACTCCTCATTGTTCTTTTGACTCCAGGACTCATGGGTTTACCCAAACTATAACGTTTCCAGACTACAGCTGACGTATGAAAGCTACTGCAAGAGAACAAAGACAGACATATCCTTCAGTGATAAAAGGCAGTGCCTTTACTCAGAACTGCTCACAGTTAACAAAACACTCTCATAACAGACAGAGAGAGCAAGGAGTGCGCTTTCTCCCAGCGTTGCCCCCCATTTCTCAAGAGATTACTCCAGACAACAAAGAAAACGGGAGCCTGGTAACAACTGTATATCTATTTGATCCATCTTTGGAGGTTACCATAGTCTATCCAAAACGCTACTGTTTTCCCAGATAACTCTAGACAACAAATAGCGCTATCCTCGCAGTAATCAAAGCCTCAAGAAGACTCTGTACATCAGAGGAGGTGCAATACTGTGATACTTACCAAGGCCCTCGTGACCTCTAGACTTTTCTTCGTAGTGTTTTAGTCTCCCTTGTTCCTCCAGGCACAGGAGTCCACCTATCTTTTTAAAACATAGCTTCTTGTTGATGAAGAGCAAGAGGACTGCAAGGAGGATAACGAAGACTCCAACAGCAGACAAAAACCCAACAGCCTCTGGAGGAACTAGGAACAAAAATCCGGAAAGAAAAATATCAGTGCAACTAGGAAAAACTGCCCCCGAGAAAGATGTGGTTTATCCACATCTGCATCTGTGGCCCTGCTTTCCCTTCCTCTCCCCAGAAGGACCAGAAATGAAATTCAGCAGAACTTGGACCTGTGTTAAATGGACACAATGTCCATATTGGGCCAATCTACTGAGGGTATCAACCAGAGGGTACATTACCAACCAAACCTGACTCTGATCAAGGTCTTCATTTCTGTCACGCATTTCTGTTCTGATGAACTCCATCACCACAGACTCTTATTAACTCTAATAAGCCTTCATAGCAGTGCAAAAGTCCACTGGCTTCAGGAGAGGCACTCACAGTTTGGCAAAAAGGACCCAGTCAAGACAGGGCAGTTTGTCATAAACTTCTTCTGCACAGCCTGCAGCAAATTCTCAGGGGAAGCTGAGCTGAGGACTCAGCTCACCCCCTCAAGAAGGGGGTGAAGGCCCCAATATCTTTTGGGAAACTTGCATATTTTCCTCTAAAAATAAACAGACTATAGCTCTGGTACTCAGAAAACTTTATTAAATTCGCTAAGAATCAGGTTAATGTCTAGCCTATGAACCTCGTTAAATGGCTACTTTACCCTTAAGTAAGAAGTAAATTACTGTACTACATAATTACCACTATCAGTTACAAAGGACCAGTCTCCAACTGAGGTAACTCAGTTTAGCTCCTTCACATTTGGCCCCACTAGACGCAGTGATCTGCACCACCTCACATCCTAGTCCTGTAAGTCAACATCACTGTCATGTTCTACAGGAATAGCCTTATTTCCATTTATCACATGCTGCCTGTACCACTGGGTCTGCATCAAACCGCAGGCGCCAGCAGAAAAGCTTTTAAAGCCATTTCACCTCTCTCACACTTATCAAAATGCCAAAACAAGGGACAAACACTACATAGATCATCGGGTGCAAACAGCAAGGGCGCACGCATCAAAAACTAAGTGCCATCTGCAAAAAAATTTGGCTTGTTATTCTGGTAATTACTTCACCAGGAAGGGGTAAAGTTCAGTCGTCCAGTTCAAGTCAAAGACCCCATAAAAGCGAAACATCAGGCGCACACCAGAAATGCACAGATGAGATGAGCAGGAGAAAAGGATGTAAACAGAGCCAGCCCTGCCTGTGACACATCCCACTGGGAGTTTACAAGACTTGACTCAGCGAAAGACTGTCTAGAAGAGCTGAACTGTCTCCACTTACAACCCTGATGGCACGCACTAAGACCATGATATAGGGAATTAAAAAACCCCAGGTAATACAGGCCAGTGTGGCTCAGCTGGAAACAAAAGTCACAAATGCACAGCAGCAGCCCAATACAAAGCGCACAAGTGTTTGGGACTGAACCCGGAGGAATGCGGGTTACACAAACTCTGGAGCTGGCTCTGACCTTGCTCACTGTAGCCTGAAGAAATAAGAGTAAAGCGCTCTGAATTACACCAGCTTAAACAACAAGATGAAGTTCACATTTTCCTTCTCTGGTGATTGCTTCTACGTCCTTCTT